TCACTTTTAGCGGGGGATCTGAGGGCAGCCCAGTTAAGGTTTGTTTTTATTTCCCCTGTTGGTTTTAAATGGACTTGAGTTCACTACTGGAATTGTGTGATTGTTTCTGGAAGGCGAAAACGGAAATGGAAGAAACAATCGGACGGAGTCATCATGTAAATTGGGTCTGGGCAATCCGCTCGTACCCCCGACCTCGGGGTAGGCCCCTTGGTACCCCCTACATCCAATACCCGCTTTTTGTAGGGTATCATGTCGACCCTCTACTAAAAAGGAGGTGTTCATCACGAAAAGCCAGGTGCATTTGGAGTGGGGGGTGCCTGGAAACCCATATTGTCACGTGTTTTGTTTTTTGTTTTTTTCTGTTCGTACGGCTTGGGCCACAAGAGCAATGGCCATATGGTCATTACACGGCTTTTTGTCAACCATTTGTTGAAAACTACAGGTTGCATACGGCCAAATACGGCCCCCGGCCAACACAAACAGACCATACGGGAAAAACCATCCAACAACGGGTTCCGTACGAAACAAAAAGAAACATGGCCATACGGCTTTCCAGGTACCCTAGAAAAAGGCCTCGGGTATTTGGAGGTTGCGGGGGTGGCTTTTTCCTGGTTTTTCAAGGGCATCTGGAAATACCCCCTACTCCATATACCCACTTTTTTTAGTTGGTACTTTTTGAATAACCGATCGGTTTTCCAAGGTAAATACCTCCTTCCCTTTTTTAGTAGAGGGTCGACAAATGACACCCAAGAAGGCCGGGTATTGGGTGGTTACGGGGTAGGCCTATCGTGCTTCGCTGCGAGGGGTCTCGCTGGACTCGCACGAGAATTGAGTCGAAATGAGAGAACCAAAAGGCGTGAGTCCGTTTCTTCAATTTGGTTAAGAATACTTTATGTATTTTCCACTGGTTTGAAAGGGAATCTATCACTACTGGATTTTTGTGGTTTTTTCTCCCTGGACTTAAGCAAATGGAGGGTTTGGTCCTCCCCGAGTTCATGGACATACTTTTTGGCAAGAGCACTAAAGCAATGGAATATTACCGTAGATACAAAGTGTTTGCTCTTTGTTTGGCTAATGCATCCGATTAGACGTGAGTCAAGACATTTGAGTGGTCTTGGGTGGCTGTGGGGGATGAACTTTCTTCCTCATCTACCCCCGTAACCTTCAAATTCCCTCTGTTTTTAGTTGGTATGATTTGTCGACCCTCTACTAAAAAAGGGATCGGTATTTACCCTGGAAACCCGAAACCGGTTCTTCCATTAAACACGTGGGCACGGCCGTTCGAGCCCAGGACCTCAGTTTTTGAGGCCTTTTTGAGGCCCTTGGAGGTGCGAGGCACTCATATTCAAGGTCCAAGAAGCTCGTAGGCATAAGGTAACTGTTCCCATTTCATGGTTGAAAATATCTCTGACCCCTTACTCCAAATACCCGCTTTATTTTCAGGGCATTTTTTGAGAAACCGATCGGTTTTTCAAGGTAAATACCTCATGTTTTAGCAGAGGGTCGACATTATATGCCAAGCAACACGCGGGTTTTTGGAGTCGGGGGCATCTTTTGAGTGGTTTGGCAAGCAATGGTCATCCCATGTATTTTTCTGGATCTGTTGATATCACCCCCCCACATGTCGAGCGCCAGGTGACCTATTTGAGCGAAGGCTTCCTGGAGAAGAATGTGGACAAGCCCCCGGACGAGGCGCATTGATCGGCCCACTTAAGCTTGACTCGTCTAGGAAGGGAGATCTTCCCCCGTAACCTCCAAATACTCGGCTTTTTTTTAGGGTCAAAATCAACGACTTAGCGTTACGCAAGTTTTAGTCTTTGGTAAATGGAACCAAGGTGCCATTTCGGTACATGTTGTTGACCCACGGCCAAATACCCGATGCCGTTTTTTGTTGGTATGAGTTGTCGACCCTCTACTAAAAAAGGATCGGTATTTACAATGGAAACCGGATCGGTTTTCCCCCCAAAATACCCTAGAACAAGTGGGGCATTTAGAGTAGGGGGTTCTCAAAAGAAGTACCCCCGTAACCTCCAAATACCAAAGGCCTTGTTTTGTTGGTATTTGGTGGCACAGCTGGGTTTTTCGTTTGTAAATATCGATCCCTTTTTTAGCAGAGGGTTGACATGATACCCCAACAGAAAAAGGGTATTGGGTGACAGGGGTATGTTTTATTTGCGTGCTCCGCGCGCCGGCCTCGCATGTCCGCCGCGCGGGCTGGATGGATGGACGCGATGGATGGCGGATAAGAGGGAGAGAGGGAGGGAGGGAGGGAGGGATGGATGGATGGATGGATGGGATGGATGGAAGGGATGCGGTGGGCGGGTGGATGGGTGGATGGATGGGTGGGTCCGTGGGATGCAATGATACATGAAATGGAGGAATCCCAGAGCTTCCTCGGCCTGAGTAACTTGGGCCTTTTGCCAACGGCCGTAAACACCCCGTAAAAAGGCAACGTAAAAAACCAACCCGTGTTTAGACGGCCTCCGTTTCTCAGGCCTTTGGACTCCCTGGGAATGGATGGGATGGCGCACACGCACACCCCCCCCACGCGCACGCACGCACGCAGGCACGCACGTACGCACGCACGCACGCACGCACGGAAGAATGGCCACAATTGCGGGAGATGCAGGGCACGCAGGCGATGCGCGAAACACATGGGCTTCCGAAAGCTTTGGAGATGCTGGCAATGCAGCCAGGTTGCTGCATATTTGCAGTGTTTTTAGCCTTCCCTCAACTCGAGCTCCGGTGGCCGCGCGGGTGGTGCTGATGCACCAAAGGCGCTCAGAATGCAGACGATGCGAGGGGTCGGCGGCAGCGACCGTCTCTCGGAATCCAAAGCCTAGGCATGCGCCCCTTTGGGCGAAATAGTGACCTGCGGCCTGGTTCCGCCGCCCCCATAGGGCTCAGAAATTTGGCCCGACTGCACATGCGCCTACACAGACACATACCCACACCCACCCACCCACCCACACACACACACACGAACAGACCAACGCACGCGTGCGCATGCACCGACGCATGCGCATGCGCAGCGGACACAGACGCACAGACACGCGCACCACTCACACACTAACAGAAACACAAACACACGCGCGCAGGCACACACCCACATACGGGGACGGGGGGGGGGGGGGAGAGGGGGGAGGGGGGGGGAAGATCGAGAGATCCAGACATCCAGACATTCAGACATCCAGACATCCAGACATCCAGACACCCAGACATCCAGCCGACGTATTTTCCCGCTCCCAGGGACATATATGTATATATATATATATATACATAATTATATTTGCACTAAACCTTAGAAAACATATCAACAAAAGCAACACAGAACACACCGCCCCCTGCCAAAAGCATGGTCCATTCTGGACCAGGCATGGGGTCGGCGGATTTGTTTGGTTTTAAAAGTTCAGTTTCGGACTTGAGTCACTTGTTGTTCAGCTTACCCCCTACTCCAAATACCCGCTTTTTTCAGGGTATTTTTTTGAATAACCTGGTTTTCCACGCTAAATACCTCCTTTCTTAGTAGAGGGTCGACATCATACCAAAAAATGTGTGTGTGGGTATTCTCCGAGATTTGGGCTGGACTCACCACTTCCTACCTGGAGTCGCCCTGACCCTTTAAAAATGGTTGGCCATTACCCAAAATAATAGGGTCATAGGCCAATTTTTAAAGGGTCATGGAGACTCCAGGTATGTGTTGTTGGTTGTTTTCTTGCAGGGGACGAACACGCAAACGGAGGTTTAGAATCATATACGTTTTGATTTGTCCCAAACAGTAGTTGGGTCTATGTGGTGAACGGTGAACGTAGCTGAACAAGGCAAAGACCTGGTTTGGCGGGTAACCCAGGTTACCGTTACAACTGTCAGCCGAACTCCAAAAGATTCCCCTGTAAAAATACCCACAAAACAATGATTTCAACTATGGATTCTAAGTGGTGCGAAATAGTTTTCGTCCATCCACGGTAGGAATCATGCCTCAGTTGTTCAGTGGCACCATTTTTCATTTTTTTGTGACTGCCCCACTGAAAATGTTCTTCCCCCCAAAAGGGTTCCCTTTTTTCCAGGGCCAGTGAACAACTGAGCTGCAATCATGAAAAACCCGGTGTTCCATGCATGGTAACTATCTTCTTTTTGTGTAGCAGGTCGACATGCTATGTTTAGAAAAAACGTGTACCTGGAGTCTCCATGACCCTTTAAAAATGGGGCCATTACCCAAAATAATGGGGTCATGGACCCATTTTTAAAGGGTCAGAGGGAGACTCCAGGTATTTGAGTATATGACTCATGCAGGTTTCATGCGGAGTCTTTCTCCGAACTCCGCCGGACCGCAA